TCACAGGCCCTGTCCCAGGCCACTGTTGGATTCTTAGACTAGCTCTGCGAGGTCGTTACTGTCTCCCTCATTTTATAGACAGGGGAACTGAAGCTCTGAGAGATTAAGTGACTTGCAGAGCTGAGGTTCAAACCCGTGTACACACCCTTCCAAACGTCCCAGGTGACCCCTGCTCAGTGGACTCCTCAGGTCCGTGGCCATGGTCACTTTTGAAAGAGTCATCACTGTGCAGAGTGGTATTGAATGGCGGGGCGGGGGTGTCCAGTATCCTCTCCTCAGAGCCCTGCCGAGGCCCTTTGTCCGGAGTGACGTCAGGGCCAGAAGTTCGGGGCTGTTTGCCATTAAAAAGTAGCTTCTATTCCTGTTTCTTTTGTCTGGTGACCTGACCCAGCAAATTGCTTTCTGTTTTCTGAGTGAAGGGGGAAAACACAAGGGCTAAACATAGCCCCGATTGTTTTTAATTTTCTTATGTTGTACTTCTTCAAGCGATAAAGATAGTAACAATTAAAATATTATCTGCCCCTCAGACAGACCAAGTGGCCACCTGGCTGGTGTTGACACACAGTAGCAGCACTCAGTGTTAGACAGTGCTTTGTGTTTCCAGAGTATCTTAGAGCTCATACCACCAGCCAGACTCCCAGCTGCTTCACACGCAACCCATCCATGGCCTCGGGAAAGCGGGAAGTTGAAGGCAAAGCCCCCAGGTTGGACCCAGCTGCCCGAGGAGGGGTTACCAGTGCCAAGGATAAGGGACAAGCGGGGCCAAATGATCACCCACGGCCTGCTCTGCAGCTTTTATCTGCACATTATCTGTTCCTTCCTCTACGCACCACCAGCTAAGGTCTGCTGTGTGCCAGGCTCCATGCTGGGCACTGGGGGGCCGTGCTGGGTCTGTGCTCGAGGGCTCGTGGCTCAGTGGAAGCAGACTTGTAAATAGATAATTAAGGTTCAGTTAACATCTGAGCCATAAGATTGAAAGTCAGGCAAAGAACTGTGGGCGCCCAGTGGCTAATGTGGAGAAGGTACGTCTACAGAGAAGGCCATGTTTGTGTTGGCTCTTAAGGAAGAGATTCTTGCTGGAAGGATAAAGGCAGGAGAGGAACAGTCCAGGCCTTTACAAAGGTGTAAGGGCATGAAAGAGCTGGTTTTTGTGGGGGGAGCCTGCAGATTCACTGCAGACACATTGCTCTGGCATTTAACCCCAGTGGACCCAGTTGAGAACTGACTCTTCATCATCCCCAAGGCAAAGGAATCTTACTGTTAAGGTTGTAGAGGCTTACCCTTAAAACAGAGTGGAGTGGTTCCTGCAGGCAAGCAGGAACACGTTAGAGTTAGCCATCCAACCCCAGTCCCCACTGGGGATTTAACACAGACGGAACACCCACCTCCCACACGGGGAATGCCTGTGCACATTCCCGCAGTTGTTTCATGAATCTTCCATTTTATAAGGAATACTCTTCAGGGCTGTGTAAACCCTGAAGGAGGAGTGTGCTTTCTGGGCTGTTCCAGGGACCGTCCAGGATGGTTTCGATTCTGCCTGCTTCTTGTCTGACTTCTGATGTCGGGAAGTTCGGTGTGCCTGGAGTAGGGTTAACTGGGGAGGCAATGAGTGGATGGGGTGTGGATGGCAGGCTAAAACGTTCTTTCTTCGAGGCCACAGGCAGCTGCATGGGGACAGACAAAGGTGTGGGCCTCAGGAAGTTCTCTGGAAGCAGTGAGTCGGTGAGCCTGGATTAGGGAGGCCTGAGGGGTCCCATCAAGAAGCCTCAGGATCACGAGATGGCCACGGGGGAGGAATGGCGCTGCCAGATGAGAGGGACTGAACCTTCATGCTTAACTGGCTCCCAGGTCCCCTTTCTTCTCATGACTTCCCTGGAGATGGGGACAATTCCAGGGCAGTGAAATTAAAATAGAATGGAAAGTAGTATTCTCTGAGGGTGGGATCAATTCTTTTTAGTTTCATGGGTTTCCCAGGGCCTGGGATGGAGACTGTCTGTAGTGAGCCTCGGGTTCCTTAAGCAAGGCCACTGTGGCGCCATGCTGGGGCCCTCCCTGCCCTGTGGCTGGGCCCACTGGGTCCTTCTTCAGTCACCACATTCCCGGCCCATCTGGCGCCTCAGTGCCTTGTCCCAAAAGAGAAGTTGGTGGCCAGCGTTATTCTAAGGGAACTCCCTGAAAGACCAAAGGAGCAGACCCAGCGGAGGCTGGGGTCATAGGTCCTGACCCTGGCACAGCACCAGTGGGTTTGGTGGCCACGTCCCCCACACATTTGGAAATGCATTTGTCCTTACAGAGAGTGTAGAAACTCTAGCAAAACATATAGGAAAAAAATATAAATGAGCCAGCTCTCCCCAATTCGAGTATGAACGTTTTGGTTTATTTTTTTTAATCATCACATATAACATACATGTTTTACCGAATAGGAATCACGCTATCTGTACAGTTTTTCTATCCTGTTTCCTTAGGCTTCGAATTACATATTAACATTTCTCCGCATCATTAATATTCTTTGGAACTGTGCTGTTTTCATACTCCATATTATTCCCTGATCATTTGTATCACCAGCCCGACTGCAGGGTGTTTTAGTTGTGTTTACCATTTTGCTGCCACTCGTATCGCTTTATTTTTTAAGATTTAATTTATGTATTTGAGAGAGAGAGAGTGCGCGTGCGCATGCGAGCATGAGCAGGGGACGGGGCCGAGGGAGAGGGAGAAGCAGGTTCCCCACCGAGCAGGGAGCCCGATGTGATGTGGGGCTCCATCCCATGACCCTGAGATCACGACCCAAGCCGAAGGCAGACACTTAATCAACTGAGCCACTCAGGCGCCCCCTTGTATCACCTTGAAAGAATATCATTTCATAGAAATCTACACTTTTTTCTGAGGATAACTTTTCTTCTTGTAAATCAGCTAACAAGAGTGACTCAGTCGATGTTTGTATTTCTTCTAATTTTACTTTATTGTAAGTTTACTGATCTTACAACTACTAACAAATGTCAAATTGAAACTGTTTTAAAAGAATCATGGCTGCTCTAGGGGCAGTGAGTGGTGAAGACATATTTTGAACAACATAAATGCTACCTGCACAAACGCAGTTTATGGTAATACTTTATCAGATTTGGTTAAAGGGACACGTATGGATACTTGCCGTGCACCAGGGCCCAAGAAGTTTCCTGGAGGAGGGGAATTGGACATTTGGTGACTGTCCTGTTTTGTTCCCAAGTGGCCTAACTGGGTTTAAGGAAGAGCCCTCTCCTGAATCTCCAGCTTCTGAGGCCGTCTCATGGGAGCAGCCTCTGGGCGGTTCTTCCCATGCCCCCTGTCCAGGCTCCCAACCCCTTAAGCATGTTTCACGACTGTGGCAGGGTGTCCTAGGTGAAGGAGCGGCACCTTTAGCCCTGATTTGGCTGATCTTTGGCTTGTGAGGCTCCTTTTGAGCCTCACCGGTCCTTCCCTTTGAACCTGTCCAGTAGCTGCGGACACTCAGCACAGGGTCAGTCCCTCGCTGTGTCTCTCAGTGTCCTTTGAGAAGTGACCGCCGATCGAGGAGATGGACGTGTGGTCCTTGCTGACTGGCGCATTCATGTGGGTTTCACCGTGGTTTTCTGAGTGGATGGCCCATCCTGCGTGACTCAGAAACTTGCTAACGGCAGGCCCAGTGTTGGGCTCCCTGTGGTCCCCCTCGATGCTGTGACATGGTGAAAAGAGCAGGGCGCTGGGGTGGGCCAGCCTGAGTTAGCCTCCAGTCATTTTTCAGCTGCGTGGCCCCGGGCCACTTACCCTCCATACGGAGCGCCTGGTGGGTTCCAGCCGCCATGGGGCATATCTGCTCAGTAATCGATGGCAGTGCTGTGAGAGTCGGTGTGCATCAATCAAACACCTGCCTGAATGTCATTTCAGGTCTTGCTTCTGTCCTTCTGACAACTGACAGACTCAAGCCATAGTTTTCTGTATATTCCCCTGTGTACCGTTCATAAATGTGTGTAGGTTTAAAAAAATAGAAACATGCCAATATGTGGATCCCTGGCAGCACAGGATATGGGTCTCACCTTTGCTTTTGTATTATAAACTTGAATACAAGAACTACGTCAGGTTTATCTGTGCCCTCCTAAGATCCTCAGCACAGTGCCTGATTCTTCAGTAGAAAAACACCACATAGTTCCTGAATATTTCACTAAAATAAAGGCTCAGGTGCAAAGTCAGCGTTTCCTAGTGGGGTTAGCTTATTTATTCATGTTTTCAAGTAGAGACCTGACGATGTAAGTTTAAAGCATCCCTGTATGTCTGTGCAGCCCAAGACACGCTCCTACAGATTTTACCCATTTTAAACATCATCCATCTCAGTGAGAAATGAAGTGAACACAAGGAAAGTGCTCCATGATTGGTTGTCATTGGTGATGATGTTGATGTTGCAGAGCATTTTGATGGAGGAGGCATAACTCAGTAGTTTCCAGTTTCTATTGTCAACACGTATTCTAGAGATGGAATTTGGATGAGCTAACCTGCAGCACTGCCCGCCCCGTTTGACCTTGACCCTCCTAAGTACCAAAAGACTCCTCTTGGGTCATGGTCTTCTGCCAGGGCGTTGAGCCGCAGCTCGAGAGGGGATGGAACAGACATCCTGCCCCAACTGCTGCAGGCCAGGGGAGGGCTGGGGCAGGCCGGCTTCCCACCTATAAGATGGGAAAGCATCTGGGTGAAAACTGTTGTTTTGCACTTTCCCGGGAGGCAGTGTGGAATGTTGGAAAGGAAGCCGCGCCAGGAGGCCTGGGGGGCACGTGCATCCTGGGCCTCGCTCTGTGCCTCACTCAACACCGTGGGATTCACATTCCCACTCTGAGCCTCTGTTTCTCATCCATAAAGTGAGGTTGGACCGGATGGTTTTAAAGGGCCTTCCTGGCTCTAAAATCCTGTCTAAAATGGGCTCTTCGTTGTGGAGATCGAGGGCTGGCATGGAGGCCTTCTCAAATCCTGTTTTCTCTTTGTCATTTCTGAACCAGAAAATGACAGATGGAGAGACCTGGACAGGAAATGCCCTCTTCAGATTGAGCAGCCGAGCGCCGGCATCTGGGAGTGCCTGCCGGAGAAGTGTCAGGACGGCGCCCTGTGGCACCGGGAGGCTGCGACCGCCTGCGCCGTGACCAACCTGATCAAAGACCTCAGCCTCAGCGACCACAACGGGAACCCCTCAGCGCCCCCCAGCAAGCGCCAGTGCCGGTCACTGTCCTTCTCCGATGAAATGTCCAGCTGCCGGACATCGTGGAGGCCCTTGGGCTCCAAAGTCTGGACTCCTGTAGAAAAGCGACGCTGTTACAGCGGAGGCAGTGTTCAGCGCTATTCCAACGGCTTCAGTACCATGCAGAGGAGCTCCAGTTTCAGCCTCCCTTCGCGGGCCAATGCGCTCTCCTCACCCTACGACCAGGCGGGATTCCATCACCGATTCGGAGGTCAGCCCTGCCAGGGGGCGCCAGGCTCGGCCACCTGTGGACAGGCGGGTGACATCTGGAGCCCCGACCCGAACCCTGTGGGCGGGGGCCGGCTCGACATGCCGCGGCCCCTGTCCTGCTCCCACGAGCAGTTTTCCTTTGCGGAGTACTGTCCACCCTCAGCCAACAGCACACCTGCCTCAACGCCAGAGCTGGCTAGACGCTCCAGCGGGCTGTCCCGAAGCCGCTCCCAGCCGTGTGTCCTTAACGACAAGAAGGTCGGCGTTAAGCGGCGGCGCCCAGAAGAGGTGCAGGAGCAGAGACCTTCCCTAGACCTTGCTAAGATGGCACAGGTAAGAGCCTCAGCCCCATGGGAGGCGTTGCAGGAGCATCTCGGTGCTTACGGGAGCCGCTCCTGGCCCTGGCCCATCCCCATCCCAGGCAGAGGCGGGGCTCCGGTTTCAGAAATGCCCGGAAGCGGGTTATGAGTCCTTGTTTTTTAAGTGCTCTTCAAAGAAAGATGAAATCAAGGTGGGTTTTTTTTTTTTTTTTTTTTTTTTTTTTTTTTGGTGTCTATGTCTCTCCGTTTAAAATCAGAGATGCTTTTTCCCTGTAAACGCAATGCTAGTGGTATTGGAGCAGACAGATGATGAGAGGTGGGGTGTTGTGGGGGAGACCATTGTCATCAAGCACTGGTGACCCCCCCTTCCAGCACTTCACTGGAGCCTCTGTCCCAGGAGCCCAGCCCTGCAGTGCAGGCCAGGATTCGTTGTCACTCGGATGATGCTGATCCTGAGATCAGGACCGTGGGTCTTGGTTTCAGAGGGTGAGAGATGGGGGGAAGCACTTACTCATTTGATGAAACTGTTGACAGCACGAGACCATCCAGAAATTGTGATTGCCATCCTCTGTGCCACCTTTGTAATCATCCTCGCTGTTCACTGTAGGCGAGGCCTCCGGCCACGTGCCCCGTCCCTTGCACTTTTATCTTCTGTGTCTTGGAGCCCTGCCTTGTGCTAACACTGAGCTCGGGGACTGATTTGAATGAGATGAACGTGGAGTGAGTATACCGTCTATGGGACAGTCTCCAAGCCTGGGTGCCACCTGTGTTTGGTTCTTACCGAGGAGGCCTGAGCATGACAGTGAGGTTTGGGGACTAGGGTTGGTCCTTGTGACCCATCCAGTGAAGGACGGGTGGGTGTGGGTCTCTCTGTTCTGTGTCTAGAGTCCCTCAGGTGCTTCATGCTACGGTTTAACTGTTGTCTTTGCTGGTCTTGTTATGGAAGCCTCGGTCACCGGTGGGTGTTAAGGGATGGAACCTGGCTGGCCTTGCTCATGGAGCATGTGGCCACCTCTGGGCAGGCAGGCTCCCATGTCCACTCCTCTTTGTGGGCAGAATGGCCTTCCTTCAGTGCCCAGAGCTGCTTTTTCAGCTGGACCTCCTTTTGCTTTGGAATAAAAAGGCCGCTTCTGTTGATGGCATTTCCTTCCTTTCTGTAGCCCCCCTCCCAGCCTAGAGGTCCCCCCGCCAACAAAAGAAGAGGGTCAGGTGTCTCGAGTCTTGAGCATGCACCTGGTCCCAGAGTCCAGACTGTCTGGCCCTTTGCTCCAGAGCCCGGCCCTGGCCTCGGGCAGCTGGAGGACAAGCTTGTGACATGCTGTGCCTTCCCCGTGCCACTGGGGCTCCACCCTCCGCCCCGCACTGGCCAGGTTCCGTCACTCCTCCAGGTGTGTCCCTTTCTTTTTCCTGAGTGGTGGACATTCTTTGCTTTACTAGCTAGACAACAATCAAACCCACGTTCATTTATGTTGGACACGCGACTGGAATTTTGCTTCCCTGCAGGAATTTAAATAGGTAAAAAGGCTGGAAAGGTGACAGATTTAGGTGACTTTCTGAGGGAAACCCAGAGCCCTGAGTCCTGGGTGCGATAAATGGCTTCAGTTAAATTTTTAATGTTGAGCTTTTTTTATGAGCTAATAAGCTAGATAGGTAATAAAAACAACTTACACATGTTATTCTGTTTTACTGCCCACAAGCTGGAGGAACAGCACTGGCATCACTAAATACATTCCCCGTCCTCACTTGGGTAGAAACTGCTTGAAAATATATTGCTCCGTGGGGCTGTGCCCAGATGTGTAGATTGCTTCACTGGCTCCAGGCAGGCCTCCAAGAACCTGGGGAGGCGGCCCTGATTCCGCCTGCTTTTCTCTAACCAAGGCCTGGGTAGGGCAGAGTCCGGGGAAAGTGAAGATGGGGCCCCTGGGAAGGGTGTATGCCAGGAGGGGGAGGCTGGAACCCTGAGGATGGACCCTGAACCACCCCGACCATGCCTCTAGAGCCCCAGCCAGCCCTCTCTCCATGGGGCCTGGCCTGCTTTGGCTCCCCAGCTGGATAATTTATGGCCTCATGGACCTTACTTTTGCAGGAGCTCTGAAAGCCAGGCCTGAGGCCACCCCAGTGCCTTTGCAGAGAGCCCTAGATCCAGCCTGGAACGTGTGGGACCCTGTGCCTGGGAACCCCACGAGCCGAGCCTGTCACCGGTGTACAGATACCAGTCTCTGTGGGCTGTGGCCTTCTCAGCATTTGTCACTGCCGGGGAGGGAGCAGGGTCTGCGCATCTCTGGAAAGATAGGCTTGAACCCAGGGTCAGCACGGCTCTGTTTCTTCAAGCTGGATCTTGGACTCTTTTTCATAGGTCTTGTGATCTTGGTTTATAAATATTCACTTATTTGAGGGGCGTGAGGGGTGCTAATTGAACATTTCTGTGAAGGAGCCCCTTTGTATGTGTAGATCTGCGACCAGGTGTATGAGATTGGTGCAGAGTGTCTTTTCGGTTGGAGTGCCTGGGAGTTCTGACAAACCCCAGCTTCCTGCAGGCGCTGTCTGGGGCTGCGCACACCTGCCGGCACGTGGGTGAACACGCAGGAGCTTTCCTCTGGCCGTTAGTCAGGGTGCCCAGAGCAAGGGGGCTACCCAGAGCCCCTCCGGCCTTGCCCATTACAGCCCCTCCCGAGATCCTTCTGGAACATGGTGTTCACTTTTGGGTCTGCATTTGGGGGCTGGGGGGACATCAGCACATCAGAAGGCCTCCAGATGAGCGGCAGGAGGCTGGCGGCCCTGGGCAGACTGCCTCACATCTCTGTGCAGCACATCATTCCACCACCGCATCCGCTGTTGTTGCTACTGCCCTAGGACTGTCGGGGGGGGATAAGGGAGGTAGCGCGCGTGTGCGTGTGACGTGTCAGCGTGTACACATGCATCTACGGCTGGACGTGCAGGTGTGTGTATGTAGGAACGTGTGTGTGCATCCATAGCTAGGGAGACGCCCGTGCGTGTCTCGTTGCCAGCCTGCGCGCGCACGCACACACACACGACCTGGTGCCCTGGCTGGCGTGCAGCGAGTGCTGACGGTTACCATTAGTGTTGCTGCTGCACATCTTGGGAGGGAAGGCATGGGCTCGTTGCAGGCGACCCCAGAGGCGGAACTGGGAGAGAGCGTGAAGGTCCCAGGAGGCACACTCCGTGCATTAGAAGGGCTCCCTTTTTTCTGTATCTGCCTGTCTCTTTCCTTCTGTTTTTCTCCTCCCTTTTCTGCCCTTGCCATTTACTTTTTCTTCTTTGTTCCTCTTCTTGCCTCATCCTTTCCTTTTGAAAATGGGAAGGAGGCCTGCCCTGCAGCTCAGCCCAGCCCGTGGTGAGCTCCGTGCTCAGAGCCAAGGGGTGTGAAGTGGTGATGGAGTCGGAATCACTACCGCGAGAGGAGACATGATCCTGGGAGCCCACAAGAGGCCCTGCCCCTTCCCGGCGCGCAGCTGTCCAGCCAGCGGGCAGCAGCGGCCCGCTTGGGCAGTGAGGCCAGGGCGCAGGGGGTCCGGGGGTAGCAATTGCTTTCAGACTGTCTTTGCTCACGTCTTCTTTTTTTTCTTTTTTTAAAGATTTTATTTGTTTATTTGACAGAGAGAGAGAAAGTGAGAGAGGGAACACAAGCAGGGGGAGTGGGAGAGGGAGAAGCAGACCCCCCGCGGAGCAGGGAGCCTGACGCAGGGCTCGATCCCAGGGCCCTGGGATCATGATCGGAGCCGAAGGCAGCCGCTTAACGACTGAGCCACCCAGGCGAGCCACGTTGCTCACGTCTTCTTAAAACCTCAGTACCCGGATCGTGGGCAGGGATGCCGAACGAGGCTGCAGGTGCCCCAGCCATCTGGCTCCGGAGTGAGAGAGGGTGGTTGCAGAGAGGAGGGCACCCCAGTGGGAGAGATGCCGCCAGGACCCAGCCCAGGAAGGCCTGCCCCGTCCTGTTAATTGTCACTGCAACCCCTCAGCTCTGGGAGCAGCTGCTTGAAGGCAGCCCAGAGGGGCAGTCGTGCCTGTCCCTGCCCAGGTCACATTTTGCTGACCTCCCTCTCAGCTTTCCCCACATGACCCCTTCTGCCTGGTGTTTTATGTGAAGCCGAAGCCTTCTTTGCAGAATGACAATGTGTATCATTGAGAGCAGGGCCCAGCCTGAGCACAGGAGTTGTTGACTAGCGGGACCTTTGCTGACATGATTTGTTACTGCTTCTCTGAGACCTGGCTTGACTGCCAAGCATTGGTTGACTCCCAGCGAGACCTGAGCTATGCATGGCCATTTAGACACAGATCACATGTGTGTGAGCAAAGATCTCAGAAAAAAGCAGCAGTTAAAAAGATTACCCACGGAATGCCGTGCCCCTGGGCGTCCCAGTCTTGCTGTATTTTTAATTCCAAGCTGGTCAGCTTGCAAGAGCAACAAATTGTATTTCTCAACAGTGCTTCAAACAGAAGCGAGACATTTGTGAGGAGGGGTCGGGATGCTGAAACAGAGGTTTGATTGATCACAGCTGCCCACACACTGAGTCCTCAAACCTCCTGGAGCAAGCCCCAGAACAGGCAGCAACTGTTGTGGTAGCAGATGTGTGAGGGGCCCAAGCAAGCTGGTGGGGGGTGGCGTGGGGTAGGGGAGCAGCACAAGGTTAGAAGCTCGGCCGAGACTGGTCCAGGGTGAGTCCGGGAGACGAGTCTGGGACAGCCGGGTTGGCTGGGGCTGTGGGGGCTCTGAGGGGTAAGGAGTTGCTGCTGGAAGCCGTCAGGGGTATCGCAGATGCTCATCGGCAACCCGTGGCTCTTTGTTGGCAGGCCGTCCCTGGGTCAGCCTTCCACTCTCCACCCTGCTTGCCAGTTGGGGTTGCCTTTCACCATGTGGGGTGGCCCTTGACACCCCTGGCTGCAAGACCGCCCTGCTCAGGCAGCCCCAGCAGCCCCAGCCAGCTGCGCTTTTCCTTGGCAAAGTCCCTGGGCTCGGGCCTGGCATGCCCGAGCCTTCAGGGCCTCCTC